AAAAAAAAAAAAAATAAAATAAAACTTTCTTCAGCCAAGTTGGCCCATTCAGCATAAAGCTGGTATCCAGAGGGACCCTGGTAATAACTATTACAATCATAAAAGTACAAATAACGTGAAACGTCTACATCCACTTCTACAGTCCACCTATTGACGTTGGAAAATGGCTACTCAAAAGTCAACTACAAGCATGCTTTATAACACGTGACTGACACATTACTAGGCACGCTGAACACGTGCTCATTTCCTTTCTAGAGGTTACGCTCAGAGGGATCTACAATAACATGGGTTATTTCCAGCAGCCTAGGGACGCTTTCCATTCAACCACAATTTCAAAACGGGGACAAATTGTGCAAAAATGTCCTGGGAAAGTTTCCAGATAATCCGGAAATTGTTGAATTTTTCAAAAACCGAACCATTCAACCGAAAACCTAGGAACTTCCGAGAAGGAAGTCAAATGGAACGGAGGTTCACGGTAAGAAGTTTCCGAAATTTTCGGAGTACCTCGCAAGGTTGTTCTCTTTTCCAGAATTACAGGGAAATACCCTTCCATTCGTCACTGGAAAAATTCCGGAAATTCAACCAGAATTTTTCATCGTGTGGAAAGCGCCCTAAATTACCTTAGAGTTAATATTAATTCTGTACTTTCTAGTCTTTACAAAAGCAACATTAAAATCAATTAAATTACCACAACCACAGCCTTAGGAAGTTATTATCATGTTTTCATACACACCAACGATTCGGTCAACCCTCCAACGCTGACGGTCAAGCCAAGTAGAACAGACCTTCTGTATGATGACAAACCTAGCAGCTTCGTTATCCTGGGAAAGCAATCCGCAGGCGCGCTCCAATTCATCTCTAAACACTCATTTCTACAACAAAAGCAATAGAATTAGCACCAGGTTTATTCTTAAAATATTCTTAAAATTTCGCAAATTTCTGCCACGATATTCTTATAAATCATATTCTTACAAAAAAGAAAGAGTGTACTTGCTGAAAGCAATTAATATCACCTTTAATAAAAAGTAATGGCTGTTTGTTTGACCGACTGCCGCGAATCAATCATGTACTTACCAGTATTAATTCATGACCCATTTAGAATAGAAAAGAATTCGTCTTCGCTCAGATTGATTTGCGCATATAAAAAAAAAAGCTTGTGAAAAAGATGTAAAGCTATAAAACACATAACAATATGTTCTTAATTTTTTTGAAAACCCTGCGTTTTTTAACCTAAAGTCAACTTACCTCGGAAAAATTTTAAGAAGTTCTTTGTGGTGAGGTATATGGGGCAATAAAGGACTGACAAAAAAATAAATAGAAACATAAGTTAACAAATTGAAAAAGGTTATCCAGAAACAAGTGTCAGTGCTTTTAACTAAACTGTTTAAACAAAGTTTATATAAAAACAAAGCTTTATTTAAAAACTTCTCTTTACTCGCCACTCACCTGTCCATATAAACAAGACTTAAGAAAATTTCTCCGGCATGTGCTCTGGTTCGATCAATCTTCTCTGAGGCTTGTTGTGCAAGGCAGCACATCACGCCTTCACAGCTGGAAAGAAAAAAAACAAACAAAAAACTTATGCAATTGTGTACTTGATTGAAAGAACCATTTTAAAATCATTATGAATCGCTATTATATTTAGCTTAATAATTAAATCATTTATTGTTACTACAGTTTGGTCACATCTGGTAACTTTATGGAAAAACTTAGTTATGGATATTTTCTTCGCCGAGGTAAGTTACAATGCGATAGGTTTACTAATAATAGTTCATTTATAAAAAACTAGAATGTAAAAAAAAAAGATATTCATGACCCGATTTTCAATGCAAAAGCAAGGAGTTTCTAACATCACTTGATATTCAAGTAGCTTGCATGTCGTTATCGGCCGTAACGCACTTCACTACTTTCTTCTTCGATTTCGCTTCTGAGGAAATTGCAAGAGCGCATAAATTTTGTCCATCCTTGCAACGGAAAGCGCACTTTCAGGTACATGCTTTCCGTTCTTTTCAGAGACAATAGCATTTTACTGTTTATTTCCATAATTACGTTTGGTTTAATTGATTCATTATCTGAGTCAATTGGTTTCGATTAAATAATTATGACGCAAGTGACATTCAGCGCCACCTCATTAACTGTCTTTCTTGTAAAATCCGTTTTCTTGTTTTCTTATCCTCTTTATGTCTGTCCAAATGGAGCCAATCACTATTTCACTAAGACAAGTACGTCCACTAATCAGTTAAAGCGAATTTAAGCATGACGCCATATCGCACAAAAGTTACCACTTAGTATTATACCGCACTATCGGACCAAGCGCGGAAAGTTCCTTGCTTATGAATCGTCGCCGCAAGGCGTCCAGAATTCTGCATCAACATGGCCGTGACCAACTCAGAACCAAACACCACTCGCTTTGTGAATACAAGGTCAGTAATTCACTGTTCACAAACGTCTAATTTTGCATGGGATTTAAACGAAACAACAATTCCCGCGATTATATGTCCCATCACATCCACTACACTTGCTGTCATTTTATTGAACGCTCTGGTAGTCTTAGCCTCGCAGCAAAAGAGAGAACTGAAAAAGACATCGACTGTACAATTGCAGATCTGCTAGTTGGCGCAATATCTATGCCGCTAAATGTTGCTATTGGTATATTAATAACCTGCCAGGTATTTTACGCTGGTTTTTGTACATTGTACTGCGCGACTGAATTCTCCATGTTTACTTTGATCTGGTCATCTTTGTATCATTTGACTTTCATTGCGTGGGAGAGGTATGTGGCGATACGAAAGTTGATTGACTACACGGTTATCGTTACAAGAGACCGCATGAAAAAACTTGCAATAATGGCCTGGTTGTTAGCAGCTTTTGCAACGTCTCCACATCTTGTGATGATAGTGGTTGGCGTGGACCAAAAGATAAAAGAAATCTGGCATATCGGTGAGAGTGTTGTGGGAGCATCATGTTTAGCAGACATAGGATATTTCTACATTATGGTTTACCTTGGAGTGCGGAAACGTAAAATATCAGAAATCAGTAGAGTCACTGCTCTAGTAAAAGCGAAGCAGGAAATAAAAGTCGCCAAGACGACTGGTTTGATAACTGCTGCCCAGATTATCTCATTTGTTCCAGTGATTGTGATCGGCGCCTCGCCAGATCTTTTCTCAGTTCTTCGTAGGAGTAAGGCTTTCCACTTAACCGAGACATTGGTTCAGTTGAACTCCCTAGCAAATCCACTGATTTACTTTTATAGAGACCGCCGGTTTAGAAAAGCTGCGCTTGAGCTGTTACGAGTTAGAAAACCCGAAGCAAGTCAGCCAGCAGTGGGTGCGGCGCGGTTCATCAGACGAAAAGATCGGCTCGGTTCACTGGAAGCTGTCCAAGAACGACAACAAGCGCAGGAACAGGTCCGCTTCAAACGAGCTGCATCGTTCGACCCAGCGTTGGATTCAGATTGTCATGATCGAAGGCGTCATTTAACATCCTTCAAACGAAAATTGTCAGCTCCCAATCTTGATACAAATGAAAGCGAGTTTTTTGATGCTTCACAAGGTTCACAAGCCTTGTCCATCGCCATAACAACTACAATTATCCATACTAAGAGTGGCCTTAGAGGTCAAGCGAGGACAACTTCTCGTGAATTGCCGAAAAATACGATCAAGCTTCTAGATACAAGATACCACGTCAGCACAATATCAAGATCAAAGTCCTTGGACGCTAGTGCCTCAGTGAAACTTGCCAACAGTTGTGAAACAGTACAAGGGTTTACAATTCGAAGACCAAAAACGGCGCCATTACTACCCAGCGAAATGGACTTTGCCGCAAAGTTTAAGCCAGGATCTTGATTTACAACAAGATTTTGAAACATGCTGAAAACTACAGAACTGTGAAGAAACTTTTGTTCCAACTATATCAGATATTTATGTTCATAACTAGCTACCTGGACACACAAATGGATTTCAATATTTTACCCCAGAGCTTTGGGTTGAGTTTAATACTAGTAAGTGTTTCCATGTATTTTTTGCCTGGGTTCATGCTTGCAGCGTAGCTAAAACCTGGCTTAACTAGCGACGACCTTGTGCTGGCTGGCAATAACAAAATAAAATGCTATAAACAGCCTGTCACATATAGCTACAAATGCTTAAGTCTCCACGGTCTACATCCCAGTCCCCGTACAAAAAAAATCAAAGGCTCTCAGCCAACTCGAGAATTGGATAGGCCAGTGTA